AACAAACAGCAAAAGAAATTATTGATATATTCGATAGATGCGATGATTTAATTGTTACCCAACCTCAGGATGACCCTAAATGTACCCCAGTAAATCAAGGCTTTTCACAACCATCTCAGATGAACCCAAAAGGAGTAAAAAGAACACATTCACTAACGACTACTGAATCCTCAAAAATAAATATTATAAAACAACACACACAAGAAGAGGAGTCTGACAGAATGGACTTTGAATCTGATGAAACAGGCAGTAATATATCATTGGAAGATCTGGAAACCAAAACAAAAACAAAAAAGAAACTAAAAAAGTCTGACCCTAGAACTGAAGAAGAAATTTGGACAAATATTGAAAAGAATTATCCACGTTAAACAACGAAAATACATTCCCTATTAATTTAGACCAATTCATTAGCTTATTAGATAATACACGAGGAAAACAAAATATAAAAGAATTAGTATATTCTTATACAGATAACATTAAGGACCTTATTAAAGTGTGTAACAAATTACACTGTAAGATGAACAAAAGCCAAAAAAATAGATGTTCACGTCTGTCAAGGAAATTACATGAAATATTAATATCTCCTATTATTACAACGGACATAGATCAATAATTCAAAAGTTTACTTAATTTTTTACTACTATTATTTTAAAGATACGTTATTATTAGTTAATATGGATATATTACAATGGAATGTTAATGGTTACTATAAACGAATTGAAAATATCAAATTATTAATAAGTAAATTATGTCCCACTTGCATTTGTCTACAGGAAACAAACTTCACTTTTAATAAATGCGCTTCTTTAACAGGATACAGACAATTTTAGAAAAATCGGTTGCAAGGTGATAGGGCTAGTGGTGGAGTGGCTATTTATATTAAGTCTCATACAATTCCAGAAGAAATAGTTTTAAACACAAATTTAGAAGCAGTTGCAATAAACATAAAATTCCCACTATCTATTACATTATGTAACGTTTACCTACCAAATAGTAGTACTCTTGATAAACAGCAATTAAATAATCTCATTAGTCAGCTTCCATCTCCTGTGATAATTTTAGGTGATTTCAATAGCCATCACTTTTATTGGGGTTCAGATAAATGTGATTCTAGGGGTAAGTTAATAGCAGAATGGCTTGACGAACTTGATAATTTATTTCTATTAAATAACGGACAACCTACTCGTTTTAATAGCCATACGGGTCTGACAAGTAATATAGATCTTACCTTGGCTTCACAAAATATAACGTCATATTTTGAATGGAACGCCCTGGACGATTTGTATGATAGTGACCATTTCCCCATTTTCATTACATCTAATTTTAATTCTAATGTATCAGACGATATTAGAGTGCCTAAGAAATGGAAGTTTGATAAAGCAGATTGGAACATGTTTCAAGAATACTTTGATCTGAACAGAATTAGTACCAGTAAATCAATTTATAGATTCTTCTATTAATGTGGTGGTTGATAAATTCATTGAAGTCATTCTTAAGGCTGCTGATAAATCAATACCTAAAACAGCTGGTATCTTAAGAAAACATAATTTACCATGGTGGAACGAGGACTGTAAAATTGCAATTCGAGAAACAAAAAAGGCGCTAAAACTCTTTAAACGATATGCTAGAGATGACCCCAATTCGACTTATAAAATCGATTATAAGAAGAAGAGAGCTTACTATAGGAGACTTATTAAAGAAAATAAAAAAAGATATTGGGAAAATTGGGTGTCATCTATTACTAACAAAACCCCTGTTAGGGATATGTGGAACAAGATTCAGAAACTAAATCACCGCAACACTAGATTCAACCAAATTGTACTAGAACAAAATGACGGTATGTTTACATCTAACCCTATTGAAACCTCAAACCTTTTAGCTGAATCTTTTGCAACTAATTCTAGTTCTAATAACTATAATGATTCATTTATTGAATATAAAATTAGACAAGAGGCCGATTCAAATCTCGAGACATCCGACAATTCCAACCCAATCAATAAAGAAATATCAATGCACGAATTAATTTCAATACTTTCACAAATTGGTAATTCTAGCCCAGGACCAGATAATATACCGAATATTTTAATTAAACATTTGCCAATGACAGGACTTAAATATTTACTTCAACTATATAACCATATATATAAGGATCATGTATTTCCGGACAATTGGAAAGAAGCCTTAGTAGTTCCAATATTAAAACCACAAAAGATTTCAAGTTCACGAACTAGCTATAGACCTATATCTTTAACATGTAATCTATGTAAAATATTAGAGAAAATTATCAGTAAAAGAATTAGATGGTATGTAGAAATAAATAAATACTTATCACCATTTCAGTATGGATTTCGCCAGTTTCGATCCACAATAGACCATTTAGTGAATATAGAAAGTGACATACTGGATGGATTTGCTAATGATATTTATACAGTGATTGTAGCATTAGATATGGAGAAAGCTTATGAAATGGTTTGGAAACACAGGTTACTAAAATTATTACAAGACATCAATATAAAAGGAAATGCTCTGGCGTTCATTAGAAACTTCCTTTCAGATAGGACAATAAAAGTAAGAATCAATGATACAACATCTAACCCAGTTCGTACAGAAAATGGTCTACCTCAAGGCTCGGTACTTAGTGTTATTCTATTTTTGCTAGCTATTAACGACATTCTTCCACTTATTGTTAAACCGGTCAAAGCGTTTCTTTTCGCTGATGACCTAACACTAACTTATAGCGGTAGATCGTTGCAACCAACATTAAAACTTATACAGAATACACTGGGAGTCCTTGAGGAATGGTCAAAGAAATCAGGCTTTAAATTTTCAAAAACTAAATCAGAATTCATGGTCATGTCTAGTAAAAGAATTAAATCAAAAAATGCACAGCTGACTTTAAATGAACACAATATTAAAGAAGTTAACAAAATGAAAATTCTAGGATTAACATTCGATAGAAAGATGTCATGGATTCCACACATAAATGAACTTAAATCTCAGTGCTATAAAAGGTTAAATGTTATTAAAATTCTGTCGTCGACATCATGGGGATCTCACAGAAAATGTCTTATAAACACATATCGTGCTTTGATAAGACAAAAAATAGATTATGGATGCGTAGTTTATGACTCAGCAAAAAAACGAACACTCAATTCTCTCGAAAGCATTCAAAATACTGCCCTTAGATTGAGTATTGGTGCATTTAAAACAAGTCCGATTAATAGTATTTTAGCTGAAGCTGGAGAAATGCCGTTAGAATTTAGAAGGAAGGAAATGGTTATAAGATATGCTATTAATATATCATCTCAACCTGAAAACCCAACTTATTATAATTACACTAAAATAACAGCTGCAGACACGGAATATGAACTTCGATCCCATTTACCGCGACCCTTCAGAATAAAAGCAACTAAATATTTAAACGAAATTAATTTCAAGATTCCAAATTTTTTCACGAAGAAATTGCTTTCGATTGGCCCATGGGAAGGCTTAGATTGGCCCATCAACCTCGAATTATCAAAAAACCACAAGGAAGATACTCCTCAATACATGTACAAAACCCTATTCTTAGAAATTAATAGTAGGTACACAGATTGTAAGATTTTTTATATGGGAATAATTGTTACCGTTATAGACTTGGAGATTTTAATACAATTTTTAGTTGCGAAGCAATAGCAATCCTTAAAGCCTTGGAACTAATAAGTAGTGATATTAATACAGATAAATATATAATATATACTGACTCTAAATCATGCTTAACAGCGTTAAAAAGTACAAATAACACAAATACCCTAGTTATAGAAATTAAACAAAAAATTATAAACCTACTTAAAAATAACTACAAATTTGAAATTATTTGGATTCCAAGTCATCAAGGGATAGTTGGTAATGAAAAAGCAGATCATGAAGCGAGGCAAGCAATATATGAAATCGAAAATAGGCATACAAATAAATCAACTCTAGACGAACTACAAAAATACCTCAAACATAAAATTAAATCTACTTGGGATGAGTATTGGAAAACAGAAAATACATCAAAGTTATATAGTATAAGGAAGTCTATTTTTAATAAATCCCCCAATAATTTTACTTGTAGAAAAGATCAAGTGATCATCACCCGTCTACGTATCGGACACTCAAATATGACACATATTCATCTAATTACTAAAACCGAAAGAAATAAATGCAAGTGTGGACTAGATTTAACTGTTAAGCATTTATTAGAGGAATGCACAGCTTATTTTAGCGAGAAAAAGTTATGTAACATGCCAAATAATTTACAAGACTGTTTAAATCAAAAAGGATATATGCAAACTTTAAGTTTTCTGAAAATGATCAATGTCTATAACCTAGTGTAAACTACAGTGTGATTATATATGTATACCTATTGTCAATTGTGGTTGCTAATGACCAGAGATGTTAAAAAGCGACCTTAAATAAATAAATCAAAAAAAAAAAAAAAAAAATTCTACGAATGTGCTTATTCAGATTGCTCTTCTCCGCAAATACTTTCCCACAATTCTCACATTTGAAAGGCTTTTCCCCCGTGTGCACTCGTTTATGCTTCACCAAATCACTGTTTATAAAGAAAGCTTTCTCACACACATCACACTTGAAAGGCTTAATGCCTAAATGTTTCCGAACGTGGACTTCTAAATTATTTTTCTCATTAAACTTTTTATCACATATGACACTTGTATGGTGTATCACCAGTGTGTATACGAATATGCGTAGTCAAATGGTATCTATTGCTAAAACTTTTATTACACGTATCACATGTGTACGGCTTCTCACCGGTGTGTGTACGCATGTGCTTAACAAGATGGCCGCTTATTTTAAAACCTTTTTTACATATCTTACATTTATAAGGTCTCTCATCAGTGTGTACACGATTATGATTGATCAAATCTGACTTCGTTGTAAACCGTTTTTCACATACATCACAGTTGTAAGGTTTTTCACCGGTGTGTGTACGGCTATGTATCACATAATTACTGTTATTACTGAAACATTTATCACAAACTTTACACTTGTATGGCTTATCTCCAGTGTGTTGTCTAATATGTTTCTTTAAATCCCCAGTTTGATTAAAACACTTCTCGCATAAGTGACATTTGAACGGTTTCTCACCAGTGTGCAGTAAATAATGTATATCAAGATGGGTTTTTTGGTAGAATCTTTTGGGACACAAGTCACAGGGATACCGTTTATCCCCAGTGTGCAAACGACAATGTCTCTTCAGATCACCGGCTCTTATAAAATATTTGTCACACGAATCACATTTGAAGGGCCGTTCCCCAGTGTGAACCAAAGCGTGTCTCTTCAGCTCGTTGGGTTGAAAGAAACATCTCCCGCAGACTTCACACTTATGGGGTCTATCGCCTATATGCGTTTGAATATGGCTGTCTAAATAACTCTTTTGTGAGAAGGTTTTCTCACATATATGACATTTGTGCGGCTTTTCCCCGGTGTGGAGTCGAGCATGCCTTTTCAAATCGCTCGAGCCACTGAAGCATTTCTCGCAAATATCACACTTATGGGCCTTTACACCGCTGTGTACCCGGAGATGGCTGTTCAGATTACACTTTCTGTTAAATCCTTTGTTACATACATTGCATTTGTGTGGTTTTTCTCCGTGTTCACGGATATGAGCATCTAAATTACTAACATTGAATGTTTCATCACATATGTGACAATTGTGTGTCCTTTTCACAATACTGGTGTTAGCATTGACATTAGATTCATCCCTTTCGGCACAGCCGTTTATGATATCGGCTTGTTCAGAATTGTCTTCATCATTTATATGAATTGAATTATTGTCGCAAGTTTCAATGATCTCCTCTTTTATATTTACTTGCGCAAATTGGAAGGTGGGGGTGTCTTCGAGAATCGGTTCCAATTCCACCATCCCTGGTTCATCTAAACAATAATTATTTTGATAAATCATTAAATACAGAACGAATAGTTTCTGCATCTCAATATATTGACAATTATTATGATGATTATGAGCGTGTCGGGGCCGTGTTATTTAATTACAATACTGACCTCTTGATTTTAATGGTTAGTGATTCTGACTGCTGGCCCAGAGGTCGGGAGTTCAATTCCCGACCAGGACTAGAGTAAGATTAGGTAAGAATGTATGCTAATAATTAAATAAGATATATGATTCAATAAGTGGATGTGTTAAGAAGCCCAAAATCGACCTAAGTGACGTGTAATGGGAGAGGCCTCCCGAGCAGTGGACTGCGATAGGATGATGATGAAGTGAATGTGTTGTGTCCGTGTGGTGACGGATTGATAATACTGAGTGTTACCACCCCTATTCATCTCGTGTCTTACAACAGGACAAAAGCACTGCGTAGAGAATTAAAACTTGACAAAAACCCTATACCAACCCGTCTGGCCAGCGTGGTTTAGTAGGTTTAAACCTTCTTTCTAAGGAGAGGCTTATGTCCAGTGGACTAGTAAAGGCTGTTGATGAAGTAGATGTGGGAAACTTGCTGTCTAGTGGTTGAGAGTTCGCAACCAACCTACTGTACTAAAACCACTTCAAACATAAGCATATGCTTTTGCCTACCTCTTTAGGGATACAGGGGTGACTGTGTATTTTGAAGACAGGTCGATGATTTGTACAAAAGTCTCTTACTATTATTATAAACGAGAATACTTTTAAAGAAGGTCAGTTATTTGTTACTCTTTTACTTAAAAAAGGGTTAGCAAATTTTGATAAAATTTGATACAGAGATAGTTAAATAATGAGGTCCAAATGGACAGAAATATTATATGCATTCTTACCTGTTGCATGATCTTCTGGTTCCTTCTTAACAGGCTGGAGAACATGAGCCTCTGAATGTGGCATCTGGTCATCAAAATTAAAATTCTTTCTTTCTTGATCACGCTGGTGTGTTTCTAAAACATAAAAACCGGTCAGGTACGAGTCGAACTCGTGCGCCGAGGGTGCCGTACCTACCCAGATTTTACGAAGATTTTCGCGAAAATTTGTTAGTACCAAAATTTATCTTAATTTTCAACTTTTTATTTTTTGGAATTATTCCTTTATTTGTGCTGTAAGATGTTTCTTTGGAACTCCCATATAGGTTTTCGACCCAAAACCTATAGGGTACTTCCGGTTAACCTAGAATTGACAATTTTGGTCAGCAAAGAGAAAATTCAGAAAAATAAAAAAGTTAAAAATTAAGGTACATTTTGGTACTTACAAGTTTTCGCGAAAATCGAAATTTACCCATATCTTTTTATCGTGTTGACTTAGGACCTTGATGTTTATACACCTAATAGGGGCCATAGACCTCAGTATCTGGTATAAATTTCAACTTGCTAGGTCTACAGTCTGTCCGTATGTCACCACCGATTTTCTCAGGAACGGGTCCTGAGAAAATCGGTGGTGACATACGGACAAGAAAGTGATCTTATAAGGGTTCCTTTTTTACCTTTTGAGATACGGATCCCTAATAGTTATATATCTATACAAATAAATAAAATTGAAGTGTCTGTTTGTAATGTCAAAATAATAGGTTTCTTCATGCTCACACGGTTATTTACACGATACCTAAGCCTAAAAACCAATTTTTTTTTGTCTGTCTGTCTGTCTGTTCGTGCCAGATAATCTTCAAAACGGCTGGACCGATTATGATGATATTTTACTACCAGGTACTATGTAAGGATGTACTATATAAGGAGTAACTTAGGCTATTTTCCATCTTGCTCGTTTGCCACCTAAACGTAGCACTTTAAAGAAGTTCTGACAGTTCGGCAAAAAACATAAAAAATAAAAACAAATTGAGATCCTCCGGTCGATCCTCTTGACGACTGGATGGCGTAGTGGTTTGTGTAACGGACTGCTATTCCATAGGTCGCGGGTTCGATTCCCGCTCAAATCAAACATTTGTGTGCATGAACATTTGATGTTTGATTTGGTCTGGGTGTTTCTATGTATAATATGTATGTATTTACAAAAAAAAGTATATACCTATGTATTTATATCAGTTGTCTAGTACCCATAGTACAAGCTTTGCTTAGTTTGGGACTAGGTGGCGTTGTGTGAATGTGGTACAATATTATTATTATTGATTTCGCCACACTCTTACCGTCACCGTTCCCGACACCTCTGTATATGTTTTCACTTCCGTCGGCACTCGGCCGGAGTGTCACTGTTTTTTTTTAAATTTAAAACCGTATTATGTTAAATGGGTGGCGGTAAAAAAAAAGAAAGGTGTCCATATGTGGCGGTAGTCACTTACCATCAGGTGATCCCCCTGCTCGTTAGCCCTCTATGGAATAAAAAAAAAACAGTGAAAACTTGTTAATTTAAATTTATTTGATTATAACAGGATCCAGATTCAGTTCCCACATGAATATACAGGGTTACTGGGTAAGTCGACCTAAATACTTTAAGGTGTTGTAGTTGCCATCATTTCTGATAGATTTCACTATGAAATAACATATCCCAAAAATAACCATTTTCAAGATATTGGACTTACAAGATTTTTATAAAAATCGTTCATTGTTCAAAAATGCCCAACGCGCCTAAAGAAGATTTCGCTTCAAAAAATAAGGGCGTGTTAAAAATGTGCTTCGCTTACCTTCAACAATCTCCAACTTTACGTCTATTGCAGGAAAGGTTTCAGAGTTTTCTTCCGCCACATTAACTGTGGAAATGTGTCTGACAGGTGTGACCTCAAGTTTTCTTGCCATGGGAACGTCTTGGGGTCTGAACTGTTGTAACTGGAATTAAAATCGCCATCATCATCAACAGACTTTAGTAGTCCACTGCTGGACATAGGCTTTTCCTTAGAAAAGAGTTTTTGGCGACTGTAATGTGTTTTTAATACGACTATATATATTACGTATTAGCTGAGACCCGCGGTGTTACCCGCGTTTGTTGTTATAACCGCGGGCAACGCCGCGGGGCGAAGCTAGTCTAAAAAAAGTTTAAGTTATAGCCAAAGTTACTCCTTATGTCATCAGCTATCTGCCAGTGAAAGTCCCGTCGAAATCGGTCCAGCCGTTCCAGAGATTACCCGGAACAAACAGACAGACAGACAGACAAAAATTGTAAAAATTTTTATTTTGGCATGTGTAGCGTGTAAACATACATATGCATTTAGTAAAAAGCGGTTATTGTAATATTACAAACAGACACTCCAATTTTATTTATTTGTATGTACATGTATAGAATAGATACGGGACCTAGAAGGTTGAATCGGAATTCTGCTAGTCTCGGTTATACAATTTGAGCACCTGGACGTGTGTCAACTTTTATCAAGTTTTAAAGGACTTGACAGTTACATGAAGAAGTGAAGTCTGGCTGTGTTACATTGTATTGGTTGTAGGAGCGATGCCCTCAACAAACGTGGCAACTCCATCACATTCCAGGATTACGTGGGCGGCCGTTTTTTCTACTTTCAGACATCCTCTGCAAAGAGGACTGTTCGTTGCATTAGTTGTAGCAGTTCAGGGCCAGTTGTCCTCTTGTAGTTCCTACAATTAATTGGATGTCTAGTCTACTAAGACTGATCAATCTCCAAGTAGGTCGGTGGGACTTCAGTTAGCAACAGTTTGGACTGTCTGCAGCTGGGTAAGGTTTTTCACCTCCGGTTGTGTGCTTCATGAGTATGTTGTCTTGCCCTGGCTATGTTACATATGAAAAGCTGGAGGAAGTTAAAATAGATTTATTTACATCACAAGGGTAACAAAATAGTAACTATTCACAGGCGAAAGAAAGGAGCTATCAATAAGCCAAGCCCTTATAGCAGAATGTGACCATAAACCTAGCAGTCTGTCACACACTAAACATGCAAAAAAATTATTCCTCTGTATTGTCTGAGGTCCTCTGAAAGCCTGAGATTGGAAATACCAAGGCATTCTACCAATTTCTACACAAAGTCATTTTCCGTAGAATCTGTACGTTTATGGAATGCCTTGCCGGTTACTATCAGACGTGCGCAATCCGTAACCACCTTCAAGACTATGCTATATGAGCATTATCTGTCTTTAATAGTTGAAAATTAGCGTATTTATATATTAACGTATGTATGTATAGTATTTATGTATAAATATAGGTTAGTAGTATTTATGTATAAAAAAATATTTTATAGGTTAAGACCTTATTTACTTCTCTAATTTATGTAGGTATACCTATCACCATTTCAAAATGAATCCATCCAAAGGTTGCCTGGAAGAAATTGCACTAAGCGATAAGGCCGCCCTTTGTACATTACATCGGTCGTTAATTACTGTATAATGTCTGTAAAACATTGGTGTACAAATAAAGTATTTATCTATCTATCTATCTATCTATTAGTATGAGGTTAAACAGTTGTATTGCTGGAGGTCTAACTTTAATGTTATTCCTGTTTCAACATGACCACTTAAAAGTCAATTGTCTGTACATGTAATCACCAGTTTTTTGATTGTATTTTTAACAAGTTTTCTAAAATTTTCAAACATGGAAGGTCTCATATTAAAACAAAATTAACTTACCGCATTGCTCTTTATCATTTCCGTGAGAAGCTCTTCGCTCCAAAGACAGTTCGTCCTAAGTATGTAGCAGTTCTGGAGCCTGGCCCAACATATGTAACAGGCCAGCACCGGTTTACTGTCTTTGGTTTCTAACTGACCATAGAAAAAAAACACAATTTATAAACTTATGTAGGAAAGAAAACCTTGCAAAAAATATTTCAACTACTCGGTCATCCCACTACTCCCATACTAGGAATATATAGGAAAATATATATATATACACGGTGATTTTGAAAGCGTTTTGGAAACGAAACATTTTAATTTGGAATCATCATAGTACCAATAAAAATGATTAAATCAATTGTAATGTTGTCTTAAAAAAAATTTCAGTTTTAATATTAATTTTTACTCGATCGACTTGGAAAGTAGTAGTGGACTGATCATTCATTCATTATCTTATATGAATGAAACACGTCGGGGGGTTCGGCGGCCGCTGCGCACCGCTGACGCTAACAGCAGCTGATAAAAGTATACCTATAGGCGCGAGCTAGCGAGTACTTACGTAGATAGACTCCAATTTGTCCTTCATACTTTACACGGGCTTAGGATCGTCGGAAATACCTATTTTATTTAAACTTCTTTTCGATTATTAACAAATCAATTTATCAATGGACTGTAGGTATAAATATTTCAAGCGTATTTAAAAAATCGGAGCTTTCTACAGAATAATTAACTTACATACCTATTTACACTATTTACACTTCTCTGTATCGAAGCAACTGCTGGCCCTCCTCGACCTATAAACCGATCACTTAACTCATTGTCCAGGTATGCACGCACTACACTCCGGCGAATAATAATTTAAACGTCCTTGACCTTGCGCGTGAGCGCGCGACCTTTATGTGACTCGATATTAAAACGCATAGTATTTCTATTCGTAGTATTTACCTACTTGCGATTGAAAAGCCCTACTACTGGTTTCTTCTTTTCTCTGTAATCGATGTGAATATCGACTTTGATGATAAAAAAATATATATATTTTATTAAATTAACGTTATATATAGCTTCTGTTACTGATAAATAACTCAAAATTTTCTTTTCCAAAACGCTTTCAAAATCACCGTGTATATATATATACTTAAATTCTTCAGAGGTGGTGGTGAGGGGTCCGAGTAGTTATTGTTATGGGGGTCCTGTCTGTTTTGTGTGTATATTACTACTTTGTGTGTAATATATAAGTGATCTGTGCTTGTAACTTGCATAATACCTCTTGATAATATTCTGAATTGTCTTGTGCACTGTAACTTATCTCTGATTTATATAAGTGAGGATTTTTAATTGGCTATCTGTTTTCTTGCCTGCTTTTATTCTGATCAACATAGCTGTAAATCCTCCATAGGTTGTACTAAATAAATATAATTATCCTGTGTCAACATTTATGAAACAGACACAAAGGACATACCTACAGACTCAGACCAACAATTTGTGGATCACACAATAGTGCTGTCTTAGGTGGGGATCGAACCTACAACACTAAATAAAAAATGACAAGGTGACCACTTAAATCACTATCTTCATCCGTGCAGTCTTTACGATCTTTCTTTTTATAATGTAGGGGCCATATAAGCAGATGGTTTGCCTGATGGAAATTGCACAAGCAAATATCATGCCTTTACTGGCCAGACTGCTGGTAAATATGCTACTTCCACAACCTCCAGCAGTACAGGTCATTAACAACTAGACCAATAGGCCACAACTTAGATCAATATGATGATGATTGATAGATGATGATTTTAACCCTTTTCCATAAAGAATCATACTTGGCAGTCAGTATCATATATCATCACTGTAGTAGTGGCTACTCAAATCACAGGAAGGACACACAGGTAATGACTGCACAGATGGCGTAGTGGTTTAAGGGGTCACCTCGTCTCATATAGCTAGTTACTGACAAAAATACTTACTGGGATATCTGTCAGTTTCTCATACGTTTCTTGAAGGTTTGTGTTCACTATCATATGCATTCTAACATCCTGAACGAGACAAAGTCTACACATCACCGGCTTCTCCATTTTGTTTTTGTCTCTGCAATCACAGAACTCGAATTATTTGATAATGGTTTTAAAAACACAACACATATTTGCATCTACATCGCTGTAAAAGAAGGTATACAGCAACCGTGAAAATTCATTAAAAGCGCAGAGTTAATGTTTATCATATGATTTACTAAAGTATTTTTAAACTCTAGTTAACACTTTTATGACAACATGGTGTTAACCATTAATTACTTATCATATATTTGAGGAAATAGCAACAATGATAATGGCTATTAGTTATGATAGCGAAATGCGAGATGCTACCGAGGATGCTAAAATCAATTTCAGTGAATTGTTTCGCCTCAACTGAACGGCTGAACCGATTTGGCTGAAAATTGGTGGGAAGGTAAAATCAGGAGACGGACATGGGATAATTTTTGCCAGTTTTTCGTTTTTTTTTACAAAGTCGTGATCAGAGCGGATAAATGACCACCTGGAACACATGAACGCACATTTTACGCTCCAACAATAGATGAAGTTGCCATCCTGATTGTTGGTGAAAACTTGGAAACACGCGATATTGTGCTTACACGTCGGGAGACTGGGCAACTGCAACAAATATCTGAAACACATCGTTCATATACCTACCGTTGCAATACCCGTTGATGTTTTGGTGTGGGGGATCAGTGCAAGTAAAACCCAATAAACGATGATTTCGAAACACATTTGATATGGATATTTTATTTTAACACCTATGACATGTATAATTTAATAGTCAGTTGTTTTTACTTTTTGACACATATAATATAGCTTGTAGGCATAGATAGTGGCTACGGAGGTGTGCAAAGAGAAGATGGATATTATTTTAATATCAAAATGAAAAATCCATTGAATGGTGAGTTTCAATATCATAGTTTTGACTTCAACATGACATACATTTTATATGTTTTGGTTTTGGTTTACAATAAAAGACCAATTACACTGCTTCACATCATCACATCAACAGCCTTTACTAGTCCACTGCTAGACATAGGCCTCTCCTTAGAAAGGAGATTATGGCCTACTATACCACGCTGGCCAGACGGGTTGGTATAGGGTTTGTTTAAAGTTTTCCTTCTCTCTGCAATGCTGTTGTCCTGCGTAGTTTGCTTCCTGAGTCGCCTCTTACGACACCCATGGGATGAATAGGGGTGGTGACACTCTGTATTCTTAATCCGTCACCACACGGATTACTACACTGCTTATTACCAGGAAATAGGAAAACTTAGTACTGAAAAAAAAATAGTACTGAAGGAAATGCAGCTAATATTGGTCGATTAACTATTCTGCCGGCGACGTACATAGGTAGTCCGCGTCATATGCATGAATATGTGCAAGTTGCAATGACATATGTTGATCATTACGGTCGGCCAGATCTCTTTATTACTTTTACCTGTAATCCAAAATGCTCTGGCTCTACAGAACTGTCATACGACCAACAATCGCGTACGGTGCCGTTGTATGGTGGCAGAGAACAGAGCTAAGAGGGTACTTCTCTGATTTCGTGCAAATCACATGTCCGTGAATTTTTTGTCGAATCTAAACATCCTAAAAGCCCACAAATATGTTTTATCTATAATTGGGGAGCCTTACTTTTAATGCCAATAAGAATTAACATTAATCATGACGAGATACTGACTCAAAATAATATTTTAGTTGTTTAAATTTCATTACCCTCAGCGTCTTTTTTGCGACGAGTAAGAAAAACATTTTTATTTAAATATACGTAGAGGTTTATGCTGCGTATTGTTACTTGAGAAACCTCAAGAACATAATAAGGAAATTAATTATGATTTTGCAAGTTATAATTTTGTTATAATTTTTCATACATTGTGATAAAAACAATTTGTCGTAAAAAATATTACATTACCTTCAGCCTATCTTGAAATATCAAACATCGTGCTTTAAATGCATCGTACCTGGATCGAGCACCCCCTCCCGCCTCCGCATTTGCCGGTCAGTCGGCCAGCAACAACAAAAGGGGCAGGATGCGCGCCTTTTTTTTCGCGACAGTTAAAAAAGTTCGACAACTAGGCGCTTCAACCAATTTTAGTTTCATTACATTCAGCGGATTTTTGACGTAAGTAGTTGTGGTTTTTTTATACTTTTCGTTTTAAGGCATTTGTTGTATGTGTGTTCATGTTTATAATTATCATCATGTACCGTTATCGATTAATTGCAGAGTAATTTGACAAATAGTTTGAAAAATTCATTACCCTCACTTTCATTACCATCGATTACCATCAGCTTTGAAGGTGAGGGTAATGAGACTGAAATGACGGTAATGAATTTTTCATGTTATTCTAGGAGATATTATATTCAACCCTATTAATACGTTTTTTACCCGACTGCGTAAGAAGAAGGGTTATGTTTTTGGAGCGTATGTTTGTATGTATGTATATGTCCATTTCTTTGGCACGCTCTACAACCTAAATGGCTGGACGGTTTTTGACAAATGAGGTATCGTTGAATTTTTCAAAATTGTGGTAGTGACATAGGCTATATAAATCTTGAAAATGGTGCTCGCAAATGTAAAAAGTGCAGGGGGAGGGGAAGGAATTGTTTTTTTCTTACCATAGCTACATGGGTATCAAATAAACGCTATCTATTAAATGAATGTCTCTCCACAACGCTTCATTTTAGTTTTAGTAGCGTTTTTGCTAATAGTGGCCACTTTTGATAAAAATGGTATCTAAAACTAAAAGACAAAATTAAAAGTAGTGGACAGGCATTCAATATTAAGAAGAGGTCATTTATAAGATATTTCCTGTTCATTTTTAAAAAAATGGCCCCTATTATCACCTTAATGTAAGATTTCATAATAGGGTTTCTAACAAATATTATCCTTTTCAGGAAACGAGTATGGCTAAAACGAAAACTAAAAAAACTCGCGAAGAAAAGCTTGCTCAATCAAGACTACATAAAAGGAAAAAATACGAGGAAATTAAAAACGATCCCGAGAAATATGCAATTCAGAAGGAAAAAGAGAGACAGAGATACTTGAAGCGAAAAGAACAAAATAAAATAAAATCTGTTGCTAAAATGACACCAAGGGAAAAAAGACTTCAAAGAAAAAAATGGAACGAAAATAGTAGGCGTTATTTAGAGAAAAAGAAAAAGGAAAGGGTAATACAACAGATGCTGATTGATAATTCACCTCCAACAAGTGATAGAGAAGAAAATGTAGATGCTGACCAAGACCCATTAGAAGGGCTATCGCACCAATCAGTTGAGGTGTCTAACATAAACTGCAAACGGTGTCAGAAAAAGGATAACTTAATAAGAAGACTTCGTTATAGTTACAAGAAAGAGATTGGTAAACTGAAACAGGAAAAGGAAAAAGTTATTAAAGAAAAGGATGCAATGAGAAAAATGTTGATGAGGCAAATAAATAAACAACGAAAAATACAAGCAAAACCATCGACAGGTGAGAAAGTGGATAATTTGATAAAATCAATAGACGAAGACAAACGAGAAGAAGTAAAGAAAAAAATATTATTTGGAGAAATTATATCGAACAATTTAAGAGATGGATTTAAAGTTTTAAGAAAGAAAGAAAAACGAGAGTTTAGCGATATAGTCATGAGGGACAAAGACCGTTTCAAGAAGCACAAGGTTTTAAGTAAAACGTCAAAATTTACAGTGCGAGATAAAAATAAAATATGTCACAGCAATGAATCAAACATGGATACGGAGAGTAAAATCAAACAAGACGTAGAAGAATTTTTTGAAGACGACTGCAATACTAAAATTTCCCCTGATAAAAAAGAATTTATCACACGTAATGGACAAAGAAGGCAAAAACGCTATTTATTGGACACATTAACCAACCTCCATAAAAAGTTTATGCACGTTCAAAACAGTAATATTGGATATTCTACGTTCTGTAAATATCGACCATTTCGGGTTCTCTATCCAAAAGAATCTGATCGTAATACATGTGCTTGTAAAATACACGTAAATTTTGATTTATTAGTCAAAAGTCTTAACAAGAAAAGAATCACTAAAGAGGCAAATGGAACTACTATATTGGAAAGCTTGTGCTGTGATATACACAATGAAGAATGCTTAAATCGAACATGTGAGGTATGTCGAAACAGAGTAGTTAACTATGAAGAATTTAACAATGAAGAGCAAATAAACTATTATCAGTGGTGCGCAAAAAAAGAAACCTACAATGTGAAAGGACAAGATAAAACAAAAATTGTTACCGTAAAAACTCGATTACAAGATTACCCTCGAAACTTTATCAAAAAATTGGAAGATTCTCTGAAATCATACTTTAAACATTGTACTAACATCATTGTTCAGTACAAGAGCATTAAATCTCTGAAAGCGACAATGACTACCAAGGAGGTTATGTTACACATAGATTTTTCCGAAAATTACTCTGTCAAATTTAATGAGGAGACACAAAGCTATCATTTAGGCGGTAGTCGATTGCAAATAACATTGCATACTGCGGTTGCGTATTTAATTGATCCAGAAACTGGAATCATGAAGTCATACAGCGTTTGCAGTATCAGCGAATGTAATAGACATGACGCAAGTGCTATATGGGCACATCTCATACCACTACTAGGTTATGTAAAGGAAATATCACCTCTGATAGATACAGTACATTTCGTATCTGACAGCCCTTCAAGTCAATATAGGAATCGCTACATTTCCTTCGTTATTAGTCAACTGCAACAGGATTTTCCAGAGTTAAACTTTATAACCTGGAACTATTTAGAGGCCGGACACGGCAAAGGAGCGCCAGATGGAGTTGGTGCTGTCCTGAAGAGAACCGCAGATCAAATTGTACGGTTCGGTAATGACATTGGCACAATGAAAGACTTTTGGGAGCTCATTCTAGTCAAGGTAAAGAATGTCAAACTTCTGTCTGTCTCAGAGCAAGATATTGAAGACAGAAAATTTCCCTCGTCAGTTCAAGGATTTCGTGGAACTATGTCTGTGCATCAAGTGCTTTGGTCATTTGATAGGCTTCGAATAACCTTCCGAAAACTAAGTTGCTTCTTGTGTGAAAACGGTGATATATGTTCACATAACTACCATCTTGGATTTATGAACTTATCTTGTCTGTATGAAAATGTTGATCCTGAACATCTACAAGATTTCTTAAATGAAAACACGACGAACGAAGTCCTTCGAGAAGTGACAAATCCTCGAAAACCTTCCCCTACTAATCAATTCCTGAATAGATCAGCAGCTGAAGCATCACAAAATATGAAAAATTCATCAAATAGAGCCCAAAATAATAACAAAATCACCATACTATCTGACGTAAAATTACATTGGACCAACACTTCCTTTATTGGCAATGAAATGAAGAAAACAGATAATACCAATTTTCAATTTGATTTTCAAAAGTTTGTTTCTGGAAAAGTCGCGGTAAAAGATCAAGAAAAAGAACAAAATAATCCCGATGATATTACAGAAAGTGACAGTGCAAGAAAAGTACTCAAAAAGGATAGAAAAGCGAAGAAAAAGTTTTTTTACTATTCAGATGATAGTAGCAGTGGAGGAAAAATAAGTGAAGAAGTCAGAATTTTAAAGAAAAAAACACGTATTACCTCATTTTTTGATGATTCTGATAATGAAAATATTTTTTAATTTACCAAATCCAAAGAATTGACATTGTTAGGAATGTAGAACTAAGAAGTTGTTTTTTTTTTAGCATGCTTGAGACAGTTTTTTTGTTAAATATTTTTTTTGTATTCGTAAGAGAGATTATCTGCCCTGTTCAGTTTAAAAAGCAGTAATGTTTTTGGCGGCATGACATAACTGCAATTTAAAAATTATATAACTGTTTTTTAATATGTTTCGACAAGAAACCAGAGCTTACTATAACTCTAGTGATTTTGAATCAGTATGTTAAGTACTTATAATTTTATATTTAATTCAACTCGTACCTTCTTAAGTAAGACATGACCGATTAGATAACTTATTTAATTTGCAATGGGAGACTGAATATTTTTTTGTTATGTTATAAAGAATAAACTCTGACTGTGTAAAACTTACGAGATTTTATTTACTTCATCTTCATCCAGCATTTTTTATTCATTTATCTTAGACTAATTTCATTACCAGCAATTTTTTTTCATTACCTTAGTCCCCAATTTCATTACCAACTATACTGTTTTCATTACCATCAGCAGTACAGAATTTCATCGATCAATATCTACTTATGTAATGCGTATAATTTTGTATAAATCACATAAATAGTGTATGTTCTTGATACCAATTCTCGTGAAAGTTGAAAACAAGGAATCGAAAATTTTCTCACATATCTGTCAGAATTGCACTAAATCATAGAAATACCCAAGAATCGTTTTAATAGATAGCAGCAATGCCAGCGACTCCCATGCTCTGCGGTCGCTGGCTGTATGCGCACAACGCCAACTGCCGCACTCGAGCTGACTCTTGGTCTGCTGTCTGGATTTGTTCATACAGCAGGAGGCAGCCATGGCGATCATAGGCTCAGACACTTGGGTCTGTGGCACAAAGGCGAGGGAACGCACTCCAAATTATGAGATCAATTGGTGGAATATGAGGCACTGTTAGCAGCACCATGCGACAGGATCCGATAACACACGAAACATATCTTCACAAAGAAATACCACATTCAGACACAAGAACATGATTTAGATTAATCTGGCATAAACGAAGTCCAAATTTACACGGAAGGTTTCAACACTGGGTCGCGAACTGGAGCCGAAGTTTTCTCACAAGACCTAAACATGAACATATCACTAGCATTAGGCCAACACAGTTCCATGTACCATTGCGGATATGGAACTGTGTTATTATTGTGTATGCTTACGGCGCCACAACGGCCTTATCAAAGTGTATTAAGGATTATAACATCCGAATAATGTCAGACAGCATGGCCGTCCTAAAAGCACTGGAGGGCAACACAATGACCTTTGGAATTGTCTTCGAATGCCTCCAATGTTACTCCAATGCTTAAGCATTGTAGTAACATTGGACGGTACATCTCCAATGAATTAAAGGGCACAGTAATTCACACGGGAATGACGCTGCAAATGGGCGGCAATTAAGGGCTCGGTAAACAAGGTCACCGGCCCGACCGCACTCCTGCCACTGTCTTTTAACCAACTTTGAACCTGGGCTAGACAGCGTACTCACCTAGCCAACTTCTCCTAGCCACATAAAAGACAACTCTCGAGTCTTCGCGAGGCTTCAGGCCGAGGCAGTCCTTACAAAAGGACTCCGCCACTTTAGTGCCCCGGCGCCCCCTCGCCCAGTTTCAACTCAGCTTATTTCGCCGGAAGCCCGGGGGAACTGCGCTATGGTCTGAGAACACCGAACGGTGACCGGTGGACGTAGACTTTGCGACGCCCCAGGTCAGAGACTGGTGGGGATGGCGACAGCGGCGATCAAGGGAATAATGGAGGCTGTAAGGTCGAAGAGCTAAATAAGGACGAGGTGGCGGCGATAAGCGCTCATGCCGAGCACCTTAGTGCCCACCTAGCAATCAGGTTAGCGGCCGCAGAAGCGGTTTCGGGCAGCATAGCGGGATCCTTGCAGGCACAGCTAAGCCGCGATACCGTAGGATCGGCGACCGAGGTAGTGTCGTATAGCGACGCCCTGAAACTCAGGAAGGGAGCTGCTCCAGTGGCAATCCTCAAGCCATAGTGGACCCCTTAAAAATAGGGGTGCAGATTGACGGGGTGTGGATGTTCGGGAACGTCGGTGTGGTCATCCAGACTACGTCCAGGGTGCCAAAGTCATTGAGCATCAGGTAGCCGAGGGAGAGGAGGCCACTGGTGGTGCTCTCCTGGATGGAGGCGGGGTTGTCTTTCGAGGAGGTAGTTAATAAGATTAAAGAGAAGAACCTCGAGGATGATAACCAATGGACACTGGATAAGTTTAGGGTTGAGATGAAGATGCTCTTCAGCCGGAAGCGAGGCAATCGCACCATTTGTGCGTGCGTGAAGGGAAGAATTAATGCGGGTTGGGAAGCGGTAGAGGTCACCGACTATGTGGGGGTCACGTGCTGCAACTGCTGTCAGCTGTTCGGTCATCCCGAGAAATACTGCCGGGCGAAGGGCATGACCTGCGGCAACTGTGGGGATGACAGGCATAGGAGCGAGGAGTGCCAGGCGACGTTCTTCAGGTGCGCCACTTGCGTGAAGTACAAGCAGCAGTCGATGCACAAGACACAAAGAAGTAAGTAGAAATGTGATATTTTCGCTTTGATAATTTGTTATTCGGTTGCTCAGTGAGAGTCGGATATTAGCCTCTCTCCTTTCCTCTTAGGGTGTCGAATTTTGTATTGCAAGGTGACGCAGGGTGCGATAGTAACGCTTGTGTGAAGTGTGCGACAGTGATATTTGCTTCCTTTCTCATCTACATAACGACATTTTTTTTTTGTGAGTTTTTTTTGGGGACGACAGTAACGTTTAACTATTGTTGATTTGTGGAGTGTGTCTCAATATCTCTGACTAACCTCCCAGATTCTACAGTCCTTGCGGCATGTTCATTCCCGGATGTCTAGAAAGTCTAGGTTTCAAAATTAGAACACTAACAATTTAAAATGTCCAAGTGATAGAACTATTTATTTTACAATGCCTAAGCGTGTAGTAAGTAAGAGTTTAATGCGTTAGTATGGAGCCCTCGAGGAACCTTGCAAACAATGATGGTGGAAAAAATCCACCGAAGTTTGCCAGGTATTTGTACAAAAGCCAGTACGGATGCTACCCATTTCTGTACCCGTCAACATGTGTATCGGGCATGGTTGGTCTAAATACGGTTACGATACCATACAACGGTATATGATGAAACCAGTTGTGGGTCAGTGGAGTGAACAGGGTTCCTAAGGTGGAAACGGAGCAGTTTCAGGCAAGTGGAGTTACTTGGTCATCATTTTGTTCGGCCCATCATGTTGGGATGTATTGAATACATAACTTACCTTACCTATGTCATCACGTCAACAGCCATTAATAGTCCACTGCTGGACATAGACCTCTTTAGAGAGAGGAGGTTTTGGCCTACTATGCCATGCTGCCCAGACGGGTTAGTACAGGGTTTGCATCAAGTTCTAGTATCTGGGCACGTCCTCGTGCTGGGGGACTTCAACGCAAAGTCCATTGCGTGGGGTTCCCCTGCGACGGACGCCAGGGGCGAAGCCGTCGAGGAGTGGGCGGCGTTGGTGGGCCTCTGTTTGCTGAACAGAGGCTCCACCAACATGTGCGTGCTAGAGCAGGGGGGGGGTCGATCGATATTACTATCAGAACAGTTTTCAACGCGTGCAATCTCAAAAATGATATATCTCATACAATGTCAAACGGGTCACCATAATTTCAATTTAATTTGGGAATATCTCTAACTGGCGACTAGCTAGACTTTATTGGACCACATTTGGCTCAATCTGCAAAATTTATTATTATTAAATAAATAACTTGTTTCAATAAAGATATGTTTATTCTTGCAAAATTAACGAAAACAAAGATTACAAAAAGTCAACAATTACATTATAAAATCAACAAATAAAATTCTTTAGAAACTTTTACAGAAGCATTTTCAAGAAAATGAAATACAATAATTGTTTACAAAAATCAAATCAAACAAAAATCACATAGGGAAGGGTGAACATAAATGTTTCTTTCACAAATGAATGCCTTAACAGAATAATACAGTAGTGAGTTGTTTTCTTATATCCACATTTGTGAAATCCATTATGCTCGCGTAATTATAGGTCAACGAAATCGTAGAGCGATTAATTCATTTAATAAATGCAAAAGGTTGAATAGTTGGCTCGATAGATGGCGTTGACTCGAAACCTTGACGTTAGATAAGAAGATACGGAAAAATATTTAAATGTAAAACATCAAGCAAGAAAACTTCAAGTACTGTGATGGAATAATATACGCGATTAGTGCAGTCTTTAATTTCCAACCCTCTCCAAGTCGCCCTTTGTACACATCATGATTACGATACTGTCGCTAAGAAGGGGCATCATCAAACATGCGCTAAAAATAGCCAAATGCCTCGTCATCTAATTAGTGACGCGCATGAATGGATTAACGAGATTCCCACTGTCCCTATCTTAACACAAACCATTGCGTTGGCCCTCGCGGGTGTTGACGCAATGTGATTTCTGCCCAGTGCTCTGAATGTCAACGTGAAGAAATTCAAGCAAGCGCGGGTAAACGGCGGGAGTAACTATGACTCTCTTAAGTTACTCAATTAATAACACGCCCCTGCCGGTCCAGCGCTGTGTGTCAGTTGACAAGATGCGCAGGCGCGCTTTAACGCGCTAGGTAGTGTGCCCCCAAAGGCGCCTACCCGGCGTGTCGCGTGGCGCGTCGGGCGACTGATGCACACTCGCGCGTACTCGTGGCCCGCGGAGCGTGCTCCCGACCGTGGGCCGCGAGAATCGTAAAACAGCACGCCGATCCGTGTGGGGCTAGCGATGATGAGCCTGCGCGATCGGGGGGTAGGTCACCCCCGCCGATCAGGCGCGGAGCACTAGCAAGAACTGCACTGCGCAAGCGAGCGGCAGAGGGAGCGTGGTGTGAGGAAAGGTCTAACGACCATCAGAGATGGCACGTGGTTGCTCACGTGCGGCTGGTCATGCCGATTCACAACGGTGTTGAGTGGACGTACCAAACATGGCCGGCTGCGCCTCAAATGGGTAAGAGTGGTGGAGGAAGCCACGAAGACCAACTCCCATCCTTGGCCTGCTAGTGGCGCCGCTGCGATCGCTAACAAGGGGGGGGGGGGGGGGGATAAACACCTACAATTACTGGCACAAAGGCATTGCAGCACCGTGCGGTGTCTAAAGTCGTCTCTTTGGTGTATATCCCTGGCGAAAAGAGGAGGCGCACGGTTTGGGGTGCTTGCACCCCAAGCAGTCTCGATGGGGGAAACCCGGAGTTCGGGGTTCCCCAAGCCCAGCGACACCTTAGGGGGAGACCTAGCGACTGACGCGGGCGAACCGGGAGGGGGGGCTAGCAACCCGACCTCCCAGGATTTTAAAAAGCGCTTTCGATTCAACAATAAATGAGCGCCACCCCGTTCGCCCACAGGGGTCGGGAAGGGGGCGAATCCGCACCCCTGGCACTCGTGACACGGCTCAAGCGAGCGAAGTCGGCAGTGGCTGGGTGTGTCCGGAGTGTGAGCGAGCGTTCACAACCAAGATTGGATTGGGTGTGCATAAAAGGCGCGCCCATCCTTTGACGACCAACATCGACGCTGCCCCTGCGCAGATCAAGCGGCGGTGGCGAGAAGAGGAGGTGGCCTTGCTGGCGAAGACGGAAGCGCGTCTGGTAAGGGAGGGTGTTCAGTGTACAAACCAACAACTGGCCAAAATACTGCCCCACTTAGGCACAACGGTGGAGGCCATCAAAGGCAAGAGGAGGGGGGTCGAATATAAGAAGGCGGTCCAGTGGTGGTTGGACACGCAAGAGGAGCAGACCCCCCCAGTAACAACCACAAGGGAAGAACCGGAGCCTAGTAACACTGAGCATCCAACCGAACCGGGTGCGCCGATGACGGAACTGGCGGCACCTCTTCGAAGTACGCCCAGAGCTGCGTCTGTGCAGTTACAATCCACCGAGACCGGTGACGCGGAAGTACTCTCGGAACTGTTTGAGCTGGCCGAGAGGAGAAACGCGAGGTCCGTTACGGTGAGAGGGCGGCGTCGAAGGCATAGAACAACGGACTTGAGAGTGACCACACTAGCTGGTCTGTCCTCCCGGAAACGGCGCAGGATGGAGTATGCTAGGGTGCAGGAGTTGTGGCGGAAGTGCCCTAGTCGCGCAGCTGCCGAAATCATCGACGGCCAGAGCCGCGGTGTGAGGCACAGCCTTGATGAACTGGAAGCCTACTGGCGGCCAATCATTGAGACTGTGTCGGACGCCCCGGGCCCCGCTCCGGAAGCTTTGCGTAAAGCGAAGCACTCCGCGCAGCATGGGGAGCTCGTCGATGTCGAGCGGCTGATGATGCCCTTTTCCGTTGAGGAAGTGAGGGCGTCGCGGGTTGACGGGCGCTCCGCACCTGGTCCGGACGGGATACTCCCGGGGGACTGGAACTCAATTCCTGCTGAGACCCAGGCTGCTCTGTTCAATGCATGGCTTGCACGAGGCGAGGCCCCGATGCGACTGAGGCGTAGTCGTACGATCTTCGTGCCTAAAACAGATGAGCCCAGTGGCCCTGGGGACTACCGGCCGATCTCGATCGCGTCGGTACCCCTAAGGCACATGCACTCGGCGATGGCACGTCGATTGGAAAGCTGCTGCCCCCCTGATGCACGCCAACGTGGTTTTATCCGCGTGGACGGCACCCTGGAGAACTCTGGGGTGCTGGACGCTGTGCTGGGGGACTGCAGGAAAAGGCTGCGTGAATGCCATGTGGCGGTGCTGGACTTCGCGAAGGCCTTTGACACTCTGTCCCATAGGGCGCTTGTCGAGGTACTTCGCGGAAGAGGCCTGCCCGAGGCGTTCTGCAGTTACATTGCGATCCTGTACAATACGGCCGAGACTGTCTTGGCTGTGGACGGGGTTTGCAGTGCACCTGTCAGGCTCGGTCAGGGGGTACGCCAAGGAGACCCGTTGTCCCCGCTCCTTTTTAACCTCGCGATGGACATTATACTGTCCTCGCTGCCAAGGGAAGTCGGCTATAGGCTGGAAAATGAGCAAGTCTCGGCTCTGGCCTACGCCGACGACCTGGTCCTGCTTGCGGGATCGGTGGTGGGAATGCAGTCGTCCATCGACAGTGTGGTCGAGAGCGAGAGAACGATGGGACTCTATGTGAGCCATGCCAAGAGCTCCGTTCTATCGATGGTGCCGGACGGGAAGCGCAAGAAGCTTCATTACCTCGGTGGCAGAACCTTTAGGTTCGGACGTCGCTGGGTAAGACAAATGGATTGTGTTGAACGTTGGCGCTATCTAGGAGTTGACTTCCAGGCGTCTGGATGCGTCACGTTAGAGCACGACATCAAAAGAGCCTTAAACAACATCTCTAGGGCTCCCCTGAAGCCGCAGCAGCGGCTCGAAATAGTAAGGGTGCACCTGATTCCGAGGTTCCTGCACGGTTTCGTGTTGGGAACGATAACGGATGACAGGTTGAGGATGCTCGACGTGCAGATCCGGAGTGTGGTCCGTCAATGGCTCAGGCTCCCGAAGGATGTACCCACTGGGTATTTCCACGCGGCGACCAAGGACGGAGGCTTAGCGGTCCCATCTCTGAGGACGTGTGTGCCGGATCTCATCGTTAAGAGATTTGGGCGCATGGCGTCCTCGGGATGGTCAGTGGCAAGAGCAGCCGCCAGATCTGATAAGATCCGAAGGAAGCTGCAGTGGGCAAACAAACGTTTGCAGAAACTCACACGGGAAGGTCCGACAGCCGGAGAACGGACAACGGCTATGTATTGGCGTGAGGCGCTGTATGCTTCTAATGACGGTTCCGAACTTCGGGAATCGTGGAACACCACCGCGTCCACTAAGTGGATGCGAGAGCGAAGCGCTGAGATTTCGGGACGCGATTACGTGCAATTTGTGCACTGCCACATTAACGCGCTCCCATCTAGGGTACGCAACTCTAGGGGGCGCAGGTGCGAAGGGCTGGAGTTGAACTGCCGCGCAGGTTGCGCGGTCAGGGAGACAACGGCCCATTGCATCCAGCAGTGTCACAGAACGCACGGCGGGCGAATTCTCCGCCACGACAAGGTAGCTGAAGTCGTGAGTTCGGGGATGGCAGAAGTAGGATGGACCGTGGTGAGGGAGCCAAGGATTAAGACAGCTCTCGGCCTTCGCAAGCCGGACATAATCGCCGCAAGGGATGGCGTGGGAGTGATCGTCGACGTGCAAGTGGTGTCTGGCCGACAATCGCTTGATGGGCTCCATCGAGAGAAACGTAATAAATACGGGTCTCACGTGGAGCTAGTTGAGCGAACCGCCAGCCTGCTCGGACTCTCGGGTCCTGGATGCGTGACGGCGACCTCCTGCACAATATCCTGGCGAGGGGTATGGAGCCCAGCTTCGTACAGGTCGCTAAGACATGTCGGGCTTGCGAAGACGTTGTTAGGTGCCATACCACCGCTGGTCCTCAGGGGCTCGCACACAAACTGGACGCGCTTTAACCACATGACCTGACAGGGTTCGCAGGGCGGTGGTACGAGTGTCCGGGATACCTGTGAAGGGGTTGCCTCCGAGCCCAGGCCTGCTCCCCATGACATTTGGTCACACACATCCCTAAATTTTAACACCAGCAGGCCGTTGAACATCTATCGGAGAAATGCATGTTTTGCCAACAGTAGGGGGACGGTGGGGGCCTCGTTGGAACAATCCATTATGATTACGATGACAGTCACTAAGATGGGGCGTGTTAAACATGTGCTAAAATAGCCAAATGCCTCGTCATCTAATTAGTGACGCGCATGAATGGATTAACGAGATTCCCACTGTCCCTATCTACTCGGCCTCGAGCAGCATCGCGGGATCACTGCAGACACGGACTAGCGGGAGCGACGCTAAGGGAACAGGGGTCGTGTCTTACAGCGACGCCCTTAAACTGAGGAAGGGAGCTGTTCCGATGCCGATCCCTAAGCGGCTGGGTCCGGCGGTGGTCATATACCCGTCAGAGGAGTCCCGGGAGGAAGTGAAAACGGCCGAGGAAACTAAGAGGCTGCTCAGATCAGCTGTGGACCCCTCAAAGTTGGGTGTGCAAATTGAGGGAGTTAGAAAGGTCGGAAACGCAGGTGTGGTCGTCCAGACCACGTCCAGGGAGGCGGCGGAGGTCCTCAAAAAGGCAATGCCGAAATCTCTGCGTGTGGGCGAGCCTAGGGAGAGGAGGCCACTGGTGGCGCTCTCCGGAATGGAGACGGGGCTGCCATTTGACGCAGTCCTGACCAAAATAAAGGAACAGAACTTGGAGGAAGAGGCCCAATGGCCACTTGAGAAACTCAAGGCTGACATGAAGCTGCTGTTTACCCGGAAGCGAGGTTATGGTTTGGGGTGCTTGCACCCCAAGCAGTCTCGATGGGGGAAACCCGGAGTTCGGGGTTCCCCAAGCCTAGCGACGCCTTAGGGGGAGACCTAGCGACTGACGCGGGCGAACCGGGAGGGGGGCCTAGCAACCCGACCTCCCTGGATTTTTTAACAAAAAGCGCTTTCGATACCATGAGAAATGAGCGCGACCCCAATCGCCCACAGGGGTCGGAGAGGGCGCGAATCCGCACCCCTGGCACTCGTGACACCGCTCAAGCGAGCGAAGTCGGCAGTGGCTGGGTGTGTCCGGAATGTGAGCGAGCGTTCACAACCAAAATTGGATTGGGTGTGCATAAAAGGCGCGCCCATCCTTTGACGACCAACATCGACGCTGCCCCTGCGCAGATCAAGCGGCGGTGGCGAGAAGAGGAGGTGGCCTTGCTGGCGAAGACGGAAGCGCGTCTGGTGAGGGAGGGTGCTCAGTGTACAAATCAACAACTGGCTCAAATACTGCCCCAATTAGGCAGAACGGTGGAGGCTATTAAAGGCAAGAGGAGGGGGGTCGATTATAAGAAGGCGGTCCAGTGGTGGTTGAACACGCAAAAGGAGCAGACCCCCCTAGTAACAACCACAAGGGAAGAACCGGAGCCTAGTAACACTGAGCATCCAACCGCACCGGGTGCGCCCATGACGGAACTGGCGGCACCTCTTCGAAGTACGCCCAGAGCTGCGTCTGTGCAGTTACAATCCACCGAGACCGGTGACGCGGAAGTACTCTCGGAACTTTTTGAGCTGGCCGAGAGGAGAAACGCGAGGTCCGCTACGGTGAGAGGGCGGCGTCGAAGGCATCGAACAATGGACTTGAGAGTGACCACACTAGCTGGTCTGTCCTCCCGGAAACGGCGTAGGATGGAGTATGCTAGGGTGCAGGAGTTGTGGCGGAAGTGCCCTAGTCGCGCAGCTGCCGAAATCATCGACGGCCAGAGCCGCGGTGTGAGGCACAGCCTTGATGAACTGGAAGCCTACTGGCGGCCAATCATTGAGACTGTGTCGGACGCCCCGGGCCCCGCTCCGGAAGCTTTGCGTAAAGCGAAGCACTCCGCGCAGCATGGGGAGCTCGTCGATGTCGAGCGGCTGATGATGCCCTTTTCCGTTGAGGAAGTGAGGGCGTCGCGGGTTGACGGGCGCTCCGCACCCGGTCCGGACGGGATAGTCCCGGGGGACTGGAACGCAATTCCTGCTGAGACCCAGGCTACCCTGTTCAATGCGTGGCTTACACGAGGCGAGGCCCCGATGCGACTGAGGCGTAGTCGTACGATCTTCGTGCCTAAAACAGATGAGGGCACATGCACTCGGCGATGCTGCCCCCCCCCGATGCACGCCAACTTGGTTTTATCCGCATGGACGGCACCCTGGAGAACTCTGGGGTGCTGGACGCTGTGCTGGGGGACTGCAGGAAAAGGCTGCGTGAATGCCATGTGGCGGTGCTGGACTTCGCGAAGGCCTTTGACACTCTGTCCCATAGGGCGCTTGTCGAGGTACTTCGCGGCAGAGGCCTGCCCGAGGCGTTCTGCAGTTACATTGCGACCCTGTACAGTACGGCCGAGACTGTCTTGGCCGTGGACGGGGTTTGCAGTGCACCTGTCAGGCTCGGTCAGGGGGTACGACAAGGAGATTCCGTTGTCCCCGCTCCTTTTTAACCTCGCGATGGACATTATACTGTCCTCACTGCCAAAGGAAGTCGGCTATAGGCTGGGAAAATGAGCAAGTCTCGGCTCTGGCCTACGCTGACGACCTGGTCCTGCTTGCCGGGATCGGTGGTGGGAATGCAGTCGTCCATCGACAGTGTGGTCGAGAGCGGGAGAACGATGGGACTCCATGTGAGCCATGCCAAGAGCTCCGTTCTATCGATGGTGCCGGACGGGAAGCGCAAGAAGCTTCATTACCTCAGTGGCAGAAACTTTAGGTTCGGACGTCGCTGGGTAAGACAAGTGGATTTGTGTGGAACGTTGGCGCTATCTAGGAGTAGACTTCCAGGCGTCTGGATGCCTCACGTTAGAGCACGATATCAGAAGAGCCTTAAACAACATCTCTAGGGCTCCCCTGAAGCCGCAGCAGCGGCTCGAAATAGTAAGGGTGCACCTGATTCCGAGGTTCCTGCACGGTTTCGTGTTGGGAACGATAATGGATGACAGGTTGAGGATGCTCGACGTGCAGATCCGGAGTGTGGTCCGTCAATGGCTCAGGCTCCCGAAGGATGTACCCACTGGGTATTTCCACGCGGCGACCAAGGACGGAGGCTTAGCGGTCCCATCTCTGAGGACGTGTGTGCCGGATCTCATTGTTAAGAGATTCGGGCGCATGGCGTCCTCGGGATGTTCAGTGGCAAGAGCAGCCGCCAGATCTGACATGATCCGAAGGAAGCTGCAGTGGGCAAACAAACGTTTGCAGAAACTCACACGGGAGGGTCCGACAGCCGGAGAAACGGACAACGGCTATGTATTGGCGTGAGGCGCTGTATGCTTCCAATGACGGTTCCGAACTTCGGGAATCGTGTAACACCAACGCGTCCACCAAGTGGATGCGAGAGCGAAGCGCTGAGATTTCGGGAATTTGTACACTGCCACATTAACGCACTCCCATCTAGAGTACCCAACTCTAGGGGGCGCCGGTGCGAAGGGCTGGAATTGAACTGCCGCGCAGGCTGCGCGGTCAGGGAGACAACGGCCCATTGCATCCAGCAGTGTCACAGAACGCACGGCGGGCGAATTTTCCGCCACGACAAGGTAGCTGAAGTCGTGAGTTCTCTGATGGCAGAAGTAGGATGGACCGTGGTGAGGGAGCCAAGGATTAGGACAGCTCTCGGACTTCGCAAGCCGGACATAATCGCCGCAAGAGATGGCGAGGGAGTAATCGTCGACGTGCAAGTAGTGTCTGGCCGACAATCGCTGGATGGGCTCCATCGAGAGAAACGTAATAAGTACGGGGCTCACGTGGAGCTAGTTGAGCGAACCGCCAGCCTGCTCGGACTTTCGGGTCCCGGATGCATAACGGCGACCTCCTGCACAATATCCTGGCGAGGGGTATGGAGCCCAGCTTCGTACAGGTCGCTAAGACATGTCGGGCTTGCGAAGACATTGTTAAGTGCCATACCACCGCTGGTTCTCAGGGGCTCGCACGCAAACTGGACGCGCTTTAACCACATGACCAGACAGGGTTCGCAGGGCGGTGGTACGAGTGTCCGGGTTACCTGTGTAAGGGTTGCCTCCGAGCCCAGGCCTGCTCCCCATGACATTAGGTCACACATATCCCAAATTATAACATCAGCAGGCCGTTGAACACCTATCAGAGAAATGCATGTTTTGCCAACAGTAGGGGGACGGTGGGGGCCTCGTTGGAACAATCCATTATGATTACGATGACTGTCGCTAAGATGGGGCGTGATGAACATGCGCTAAAATGGCCAAATGGCTCGTCATCTAATTAGTGACGCGCATGAATGGATTAACGAGATTCCCACTGTCCCTATCTACACATGCGGCGGTGTTTCATGTATTCACATGACGTCGGCGACGCGAGGAAATGGAGGCGCTGATCTTGAGCAGAGACCTCCTAGTACATAATAGGGCAGGACAGCCGCACACGTTCTCCTCGGAGAATGGGGAGTCTAATATAGATGTCACCATCTCGACGCGAGGCGTGAGGACGGAGGACTGGCAAGTTATAGAGGACGCAATCTTGGTTGCTCAATTAATACACGCCCCTGCCGGTCTAGCGCTGTGTGTCGGTTGACAAGATGCGCAGGCGCGCTTTAACGCGCTAGGTAGTGTGCCCCCAAAGGCGCCTACCCGGCGTTGTCGCGTTGAACGACGAACCTTAGGTTCGTGAATTCATTCGATTTATTACAATAATAGTGTGTGACTACAAGTCTATCCCTTCGGTGGGCACATAACCGCCGAACATTGAATTTTACTTTATTTCTTGCTTGTATTGTATTAGTATTGTAGTAGTATTGTAGTGTAGTATTAAGTCCGAGCAGCGACTCGGAGGGGGGCCACCCCCCTCCCCGACCGATGGACCCGTTCAGGCCGAGGACCCTGCGAAGGCCCCTTCAAGGGAGGTGCGCGCGTTGGGCGAGGTGCCTGCCAGAACGCCGCCTGAAGTCCTCGAAATGGCTCGAGCGGCTTTTGAATCTGTTATCGCCGCAGCGTCGCCGTCGTGTTCCGGTGTATCCTCCGACTCCGACTATTTCTCCAGCACCCATGGAGGAACTGGAGCCCACTGAGACCACTGTGCGCCCGCACCCGGCGGCTGCGAAGTGGATTCTCTCGCCGGAGATGATCAGGTGGAGACGAAGCCGAAACGCCGCCGAAGTGCCCGCGATCTGTCGGTGGCCAGTGGCCCACCCGAACACCTTGCGCCGCCCATAGTGCACACACCGGCCACGGAATACGGGTCGCCCTTCTCGTCGGACGACGACGAATTCCTCCTTGGAGACGAGGACTTGGCCAGAGCTTCGGCGAGACAGCTTCTCGCTAAGGCCAGCGCGGTGTTCCGCAGTATAGCGGCGGTGGCGGGCGGGCAGGCATCTCGCCTCAATAAGGCGGACCTAGCGTCCATAAGCGTCAGCTTAAGGTCATCATGGAGATTGTGGAGCACTGCTGCGTCACCGTGGAGGGACAGAACAGTGCGGTCACGGAGATGCAGAGGCGTTACAACATGCTGGATGAGGCCCGCGCACGAGAGGCCGAACGTGCTTCGAGGGCGGAAGCCGAGGCCGAGCGGGCCAGACTGGAAGCAGCGGCAGCTTTTGCCACGATCGGTGCTACCAGCGAGGGTTGGCAGACCGTCAACTGAAACTGGACTACGGTAGTGCTGGCGTGGTCCCCCTCAGCGCTAGTGTCCAGGGAAAGGCTCTACATCGGCTGGGAGGTAGTGGTAGTGGAGGACTATGCAGAGGTGACCTGCTGTCATAAGTGCCAGCAGTACGGTCACCCGGAGAAGCTGTGCCGTGCTAACTCACCTACCTGCAGCAAGTGTGGCAAGGAAGGCCACAAAATGGAGGACTGCCAGTCGCCAACCTCCTGCTGTGCGACTTGTACAAAGTTTGGCCACCATTCGGCCAATACACACGCGATGACTTCTCAGGACTGTCCCGCTCGACAGAACGCGGAACGGAGGCTAATCTCCACTACCAACTATGGACTGTAGAGCCATAGCGAAAGTTGGTCAGCTAATCTTGGGGGGGTGAGCTCGCCACCAGGGAGCTCCCAGCCTTATCGCAGGACTTGGGGCTGGATACTGTCTTGGTACAAGAACAGTCCTCCATGCCCCCAAGTGAAGCCACTAGCATTTTGCAGTGTGGCTCCCGTGCGCAAGCTGGCGTGTATTTATCGCGCCTTGACCTGTCCTGTGCTACCCTTTACCATCTGTCCAATACTCATCACGCTGTGCCATGTGCAGCAAACGACATTTACCGAGTCTGTCCGAAGGTGGCTGTGGATGCTTGTTAATGGGAGCGAATGGCAGAATATAGTATCAGACGTGACGTGTGTCGAAATGTGATAATTTCGCTTTGATAATTTGTTATTCGGTTGCTCAGTGAGAGTCAGAAATTGGCCCCGCTCCTGCCCTCTTAGGGTGTCGAATTTTGTATTGTATGGTGACTTTTGTGAAGAGTGCGACAGTGAAATTTGGTTCCTCTTTCATCTACAGAACGACAGTTCGTTCAATATCTCTGACCAACCTCCCAGATTCAACTCCCGGATGTCAAGAAAGTCTAGGTTTCAAAATGGTCATGGTTGGTCTGAATAATGAATATCCCCCTTATAGTATAGGCGTGAACATTTGCTTACTACACATAAATATTTTTTGGCTAAAAACATAAATGGCAAACAACAATGGGAAGACGGCCCGAGGGGCTTACACACATATGAAAAAGAAGTCGGATGAAGACCTAACCTAATCCACCAGAGGCACGAACATGCGATAGTGAACGGTATACGATAGAACTAGTCTTGTGAGTCAGTGGAGTGAACAGGGTTCCTCAGGGGCAAACGGAGCAGTTTCAGGCAAGTGGAGTTACTTGGTCATTTTGTTCGGCCTATCATGTTGGGATGGATTGAATACATAACTTCACTACCTATGTACATTACAACAAATAAATATCTTGTCACGTGGGAGACAGGTTCGTTCATCGATATTGGTGTCCTTATCTATACTTAATAATAAAGTTTACTTGAACAAACATAACACGCGACAGTTACTTATAAAGCTAATCGTGTACAACAGCTCGAGCTCTGACCTCGACGCGTCACCGTGGACTGAACCTTCAAGTGAAGCTTCTTCGGCACATTTTGTCACACCGTCGAGAAGACAGCGGCGAAGTCTTGCAGGACGGCCCTGGAAAAAGATACCAGAAGAAATTTCAGTGAGGATGCATAGATATAAACTGCTTAACTGCTGCACACAAATGTTTGAATTATTCGAACCGCTACGCCATTCCCTTTTTAGGCGTGGCGCGACCAGAGTGGCCTCGTTTATTTACAAGATATCACCAATATGCCAATATGTTCAAAGCTAAAGTCCGAGAATTCTACAGGAAACAGTTAGCAGAAATATCCTCATGATCTCGTCCCCTCAGACATTATTGTATTTATTTCATTCCGTATGTATAATATATATTAATAGTTATTTATGTATTCGTCTATGTATTTTAAATAGTATTTTCAAATTAATGTTAATTTTAATAAATAAACATTAATTTGAATAAAAATAAATTTTTAATTTTATAGTTTTTCCTTTGTATATGATACATGTGCACCTGCCATGCCCCTTACTGAACCATCTTAAGGTTGACTGGTAGATAATGCCATGTGGCATTAAGTCCGCCTCGTGCAAGTTGTAATGCAGGAAAAAAAAATGTCTCTGTCACTCTTGATAAATCTATGTATATATTAATAAAGAAGAATAAAGAAAACTCTTTGTACTTTGTATTTATAAAACATGACATGACACGGATGGCGTAGTGGTTTAAGCGGCCACCTCGCCGCATCACGTGACACATTTCCTAGTTTGACCCCATGCCATAAACAAGAACAAGACAATCTAACCTCAGCGTCAGGTCTGACAGCCTCCAGGATCCAACAGGGTGCTGACTCCCAACGCAGGCACAGGAACTGAATCTCTTTCTTGTAAATCTGAAAAATTTAGGTAAGACAAAAGTCATATTAACGATCTGGGAGTGCACCATGACTAAATAAGTCTAAATTAATTCATGGGCGTCGGCCGGGCGCCGTCCAAGGGCGGCGGTAGCCACGTGACACGTCTACTTGTTTGCCCCTATGCCATAACAAGTAACAAAGATAAGATCAACTAACCTCAGCATCAGGTCTGACAGCCTCCTGGATCAATTGTGGCAGTGTGTGTACAGCTCCATGTGTAAACGGCGGCCGTAACCAACAGGGTGTTGACGTCCCAACGCAGGCACAGCAACTGAATCGCTTACTTGCAAATCTGAAACACTTCTGTAAAACTAAATTTATGTAAACGATCGACGACGACAGCATCTGCCGTTTTTTTTTACGTGTGGTTACCCCCTCGGACCGTCACCCGGGTTTGCGGCGGGGTGGTGTGTCGGAATGGGACCGACTAAAACCACACGGTGTGTCACTCTACGCCTGTAATAGGAGGGATCCGGGAACTGCTGCCGGCACACGCAGACATCGGTTTCTCGCGGCTGGCGGTTATGGGAAAACCCATCCCGTCCACGCGCGGCCACACTCAGGGCGGTATGAGGCGGTGGTAGGCGCGCCCGGTTCGACGGCGACGGATTGGGTCCGAGTGGAGGTTTACCTCCCGAACCCTCTCCGCCGCCTCCTTCTGCGAAGCCAGCCGCTATTTTAAATAATACGTGCAAACAGTGCGAGATTGCTAGTTTTTGCACAAAATTTACCTCAGTCCAGTTATTTAAAGTCTTTTTTGGTTATGATTAAAGTGTCTGTTTATTTTTTGTGAGATTTAATATGTATTGAATGAAGCCCTGTCAGTCTATACACTTATTTATAATTTTGTCTCCTAGTGGAGACTTGTCATTGGCTGACACAATAGTTTACTAAAAATTATTTAGGGTGTTTGTCCTCCAAGTTTGTTGAATAAATAAATAAACACATAATTACATCTTATTGATATTTTTCTTAGGATTTAAGGCCCCATGTATAACCAGCTGACAAATGCAACTTCTGTGTTTCTCAAAAGGAATCATTTTCCCTGTTGAGCCACATTTTTCATTGATGCTCGACTCCTATAGGTGGTAGCGTGATGTTATACAGCCTGTAGCCTTCCTCTATAAATGAGCTAAGATGTTCTTGAGATCAGCGAATGCAAACATACAAATAAACTGGTCAGTTTTATAATATTATAATTACTTGTGCACCTGCATCTTTAGTCACAGCTGTGCTCTTCATGAGGTTTCATACAATAATATGTACGAGTATGTATTTAGGAATATACATATAAGCATGTTTGTCAGCAGTCTGGTTAACACAGCACAGACTCAGCCTATTTTGGGATCAGATGTATGTGTGTGAGATGTGTCATCATCATCAACAGCCAATAATAGTCCACCGCTGGACATTAGCCTCTCCTTAGAAAGGTTTTGGCCTACTGTACCATGCTGGCCAGCAGGTTGGTATAGGGTTTGTGAGATGTGTGAAATTATTATTATAGTTTGTCCTGTCATGATACAATCATGGACTGGTGATAAAGGCCTTGTATGACATAATATAATGCTCTATAGCAGACTATTGGCTTTCTAATTGGAATTTAAAGATTTGAAAAACTTTATTTTCAAACTACCCTCCAAAGTTATAAATACTATCTATTCATGTTTTTGTTATGTTTTAAGGTCAAACTAGCAGGTTGTGAGTGACTGCGGCCACCACTAGTCTACTGCAACTCTAACACAAGAGGGTTTTTGCTCTTTGATTGACACCCCCCCCCCCCCCCCCCCTGGCAGCTTGCGGGGGGTCACACATGTACAATAATCTATTCAGTATATTTTACTTACAGTTATAGCAGTCACTTGTTGATATTATTCATTTTCTTTTTTATTCTCCTCCCTAAACAGATATATACTCCGCTAACCTGCAAACAACATTATATAAGAAACTGTGTTTAAAAAAAACATACATTTACATAAATGTCTTATGAAACATTAAATATTACTTTTAACACAAACAATATAGATTAAGTTCCTTCTCAACCAAAAGGTATAATAGAAATAGTTTGAATTAGCATTGCTTACACCAAAACTACACTTGATTTAATTTATTTATAGTTGTTTGTACATCCAAAGATGGCCAGTGTGATATGTACATATATTTCCCACCAAGGACAAATAATTGTGTGATGAGCATGATCGTTTGTTCTGGGTCTAATTTATCTGTCAGTCTGGTTATCATAGTACAGGCTCTGTTATTTAGCGGCTGTGTGTGAGATGTCGGAGATTATTATTAATTATTTGTTTATATAATCATAAGAGCGGTGCCGCAGGAAATAGCTAGTTATACATAATTTACAAATAAATAAATAGTTCTTCAAACAAAAGAAGGCTGACAGAAGCATTTTCTGTAACTACCTACATTCGCTACATTCGACTTATTAATAATTTACAATTTAATTAGTAATTACATATTAACGTTATAGTATAAACTCACCTCTTCTCAATATAATTGCTTTGTAACTCGTTCAGTCATTGTAACTATTAATATACGAGAAAACTTATTTATTAAAAAAACAGTCGGGGGGTATTAGGTAAACTAATACATAATTTGTAAAATTCGAAACTATTTGAAGGATTTAAATTCAATGAAAAGTAATTATTCTTAAAAAACTTGAGAAGATGCTTCAACATTTTAATAATTCCAAAAACAAATTAGCAAAAAATAGAACTAAGAGTACACCAACTCGAAGTACTCAAAAACTAAGACGGTGTTGCCAACTGTTCTTAAACTTTCTCCCTAAAGCAATTTTTAAAAACCACTAAAATTAAATTCAAACCAAAACTTTCGAACGACAGACCAAGTATTTATTCATTGCAATGTAATAGATATACACAGCGCCGTCTATTAAAACTGGAATCATTCAATCTGTTTTTTTTTTTGGTATTGTTGGTATACGTAGAAAATATTGTTAAATTTAAGCTAAGCCCCCAAAAAATTTTAACCCCCTAAAAACTACCTTTACATATTTTTCTCCCCAAATTAAAGAGAAAACCCCGGTGTTATATCATTGGGCTGAGAGAAAGAGGGGTTTGGACCAGCAGTGTTACCAACTCATACATTTTTTTTTTACCCAATCTCATTTAGATTTGAATACCGCAGTGCCTATGGCGCTGCGGTATTTCAACCTTACCTAACTCTATACTACTATTTCCGAAATTTTAACATGCAACCATCAGTTAACTTTTATAACCATGAGAATAAGCAAAATTATCGAGTAGTTTCGGTGTTTTCTATGTCTAATATGTATGTTTTTGACGAAAAAAAAGTATCTAAAGTATTCTTCTATCAGTCAATCTAGGTTCATATTCACAAGCTCTGCTTAGTTTGAAACTAGATTGCCGTTGTGAATATTGTTATTTCTTTTAATAGCTATCCCTTTATGATCATTGTTTTTACCAAAATAATTTTTAAGTTTCGCATCTGCAGACGTCCGCGATAGCTCAATTTTTTATAGCATTTTTGACTTTGTATAGGGAATATATAAAGTAGTCAACATCAAATTAATTATTAGTTTTGAAATAAAAAACATGACACTAATAGTGTCACACACAAAGGAACTGATCATAATTTTGCCTGATGGTGATAAAAGATTAGACCTTTGTTTGTATCTTCTTTTAGTGGAGTAAGGTAAAGGGGAAAAATAGATAAAAGGGGTTCTGCACATGCAAGGCTGGAGCGACGCACGCGAGTGGGGGGGGGCCCCCCGGGGGACTGCAAAGCATGTGGATAACTAGGCGGGTGCTCACGATAGTACATTGTTCGAGTCGTTGGACCCGCATAGTTCTTTTGCGAAACAAATAACCTGCAAAGTGTTTTCAGCATATGCAAGGCTACTTGCATTGTCTAGGAAGCAACAACCTTCATATGTCACCTTCAATTATATTGATATATTTTAATGTATGCAATCCTAAGTCGTCTTTTTTAGGGTTCCGTATCTCAAAAGGTAAAAAAGGAACCCCTTTTTTTTTTACCACATACACACAACGCCATCTAGTCCCAAACTAAGCAGAGCTTGTACTACGGGTACTAGACAACTGATATAAATACATATATATACAAAATCAAACAAACGAAACACCCAGACCAAATCAAACATTAAATGTTCATGCACACAAATATTTGACTTGAGCGGGAAGCGAACCCTCAACCTTTGGAATAGCAGTCCGTTACACAAACCACTACGCCATCCAGTCGTCAAAATATATACTAGATACTGAGGTCTATCGTCTCTATTAGGTGTATAAAAATCAAGGTCCTGAGTCAACACGATAAAAAGATATGGGCAAATTTCGATTTTCGCGTAAACTTGTAAGTACCAAAAGGGGAATGCCCCATATATGGTATCGCTTGATGATTATTATTTAAACTGTGACACAAGTTCGTGACAGTGATAATTTTTGTTTATATTTATGATGATTTTATAACCTAATGTGGCGTCTCACATTTGCCGGATAAATGAACATGAAATATTATTTGTTTTATTTATATATTAATTATTATTTATCAGTCGTTCAATTTTCCGTTAGGGATTTTTTGTAGTGGTAACATCATTTCACAAATAATTACATTAAATCGATTTTTTTTATAAAATAACCAGTTGTTTAAAAATTAATCAATCGTAATTATATAATAATAGCATGATAATACTTTAATGCTAATTAAAAAAACTTTTTTTGTCATGGACTCGAAACTACAAATTAAACGAAATATTAGCTTTTAAACTAGGTGTATGAAACCGTAATATCATAAACCGAGGAAGCAATTGTCATTATGTTTATTGGGAATGGATACTTGTCTTTATTTTTCAGATTTAATAATCAAAAGAAATTATATTTCTTTTAACTCATTGCACCGAATACAAACTCGTATGTGGTCGATATCGATTTTTAATTACAATCAATATAGTTCTTATAATTATGGCAACACTGTAGCTGTATGATTATTGTTTGTGGATTCTTTGGCGGGAATTTGAACTGAAAGGGCGGAAAATTTTAAACAAATTTGCAAAATTTTTTTGGCGGGTGCAACGTAAGAAGCAAGCCCGAGAGGTGAGGATGAGGTATGCAAGTTGGAATGTAGGGACTATGACTGGAAGAGCGAGAGAGCTAGCAGATGTGTTGAAAAGAAGAAGAATAAACGTGGCATGCTTGCAAGAAACAAAATGGAAGGGTACGAAAGCAAGAGAGATAGGAGAGGGGTACAAGTTTTATTACTGCGGAAGTGATGGGAAGAGAAATGGAGTGGGCGTAGTATTGGATAGTTTTTTATTTATTGCTATAGGAACA